CTAATTATGAATTTTTAGAGCCTAAATCTTAAAATTCTAAACCCTAAAAAATGTTTTGACCCGTAAAAACTCCTAAACCCTCAAAACTAAATCATAATACAACATAGTTAACCCAAACATAAATGATATAATGAGTAAATAATTTAAAAAAGTAGCATTTTTACAAAAATTTTGAAAAGATAGCATATCTGAAAAGTGGCATTTCTCAAAATTTCTCATGAAAATTTCCAATGGAACTGTATTTTTGAAAAGATAATAGTGTAATTCTTTTTTTTTAACTGTTACATTGTATTTGGTGCAACAATATAACAAATAGTAAAACATAAAACTATTATTATTTTCTGTTTATTTTATATTAGTATTACATATATTGAGGTGGTTTAATTATATTAGATTAAATATGATATGTATTGTTATTTAGTAATCTGATTAAGATTTGACTAAAAATTAAGTATATCACAATTTTTTTAAAATTTTAATTAATGTAAAATATTAATTTTTACAAAATATCTAAACTGATCAAAAGATATATAATAAAGTACAATTAAAACATTTAAAATTTTAAATTATAGTATGATATAAATTACTTTTTAATTTATAGGTTATAGTCTTATAGTATTAGTTAAAGAATTAATCATATGAATGATAAATATTTATTAAAAATACTAAATAATAGGAGAAACTTCAATTTAATAATATAATAATATGAAAAACAAAATTTAGTGTGATATTTGGTGTTATGTTTGAAAAAAGAAACAAATTAAGTGTTAAAACTACACCAAATATAGCGTAATTTCAACACCAAACTGATGTTATGGTTGAAAATTTTACGCGTGAGACCAATCAAACCTGCATTCCTTGAAAACAACATAAATATTTGAGTATAATTATTTTCAAATAGTTTGAAGTTATGCTAAGAAAAAATCTATGATAAAAATCTTAACCATTTAACCTAAATCTAAGAGTTAATATTTAGCCACAATATGCTAATTTTGTTACTTTACCAATCATTAATTTTTTTTTGGTTATTCTTACCATTGACCCTTATATTATTACATGAATTCAAACTCCTACAATACTATATGCTTCTCGACAATAATAAAAAGATTTAGTATTTTTTTAAAAGCCATGAAACACACAATTTCGTAAACAAACATAGTTCCGAGGAATATCTAGTACCCACTCCTCTAAAGCTCCTTATTTTAGCTACCAGGGCACTACATGAAGTTGTTGTTGTATAGTAGAACTGTGGCACTGTAGGAGGAATTTTTATTATTATGTCATCTTATATTTTAATTTATGAATATTTAACAATCAAAGAAAAGCATGACATGGGAGAATGGGGCGGAGAGTAGGTGGTTTTGTATTTTTGTGAGTCGGTGAGGGTTAGATTCGTCTTTTCATAATTAAGAATGATTTTGTGGTCCTCTGGTTGTGGACGTAAGTGCCTAGTGGTAGTGGCAGATCTGAGGTCAACATGTGATGTGACCAAGATTTTCTATTTTCTTAATCGCATGATCCCAAGCCACTACATTAGCGTTTATTTTGTAACTGCGTTTTGTTTATAGTGTAAGGTAATGGCCTCTCGAAAATTCAATTGCTATTATCCTAAACAAACTAAAATGGTTTGCAATATATAACTTTGTAGCCATCTTAATTATTTATCAAGAAAAAAAAATATCATTTAGAACATGAAACGATTTGTTTAGATCTCACACAAAAACAAAAACAAAAATCTAAACGATTTTT